AGTCTCATACGTAATTACCGAAGTTTCGGAGAAACTTGCACAATCTTCTGTCTTTGTCTCCTACGTACAATCGTAATGATTGAAGTATCCACAACAATAGAGCAAATTCTTGAAAAGACGGAGTATTCAACTACGGGTTCAGGGAAGAAACTATATTATGGATCTAAAGAAACTGGACCACGAAGTACGTCAGGTCTCAAACGAGTTTCTGCAAAGTTTCGAAAAGGCAGAGAGACCTAAGTCATCCTGCAATAGAGTCATACTCGATATCATATTGATCATATTAAACAGACAGTACTGACCAAGTCTTCGGTGGGGCGTGAACGAAAATAGTGGTCTTCTTGTCAGGTGAAATGACGGGTTGTAGACCAGTTCTATGTTCAGACGGTATCGGAAGACAAACTGCCGGTAGTAAAGATAATTTCCAACCACGTGGCATATAAGTGAACTAGAATAATTGTGAAATACGGGTATATAGGTCAAACTAGCAAAAGTTTTGCAACAATGATAAGGAACCCAATTATCCACTTGAGAATCCAATTTTGATAACTATATAATCTTTTGGGGGGGCACGCGGTTTCGTAGTTGGTTGAGGCACTATGCTACAAGCCGGAAGGTCGTGGGATCGAATCCCGATGAGGTGGATTTTTCAATTTACCTAATCCTTCCAGCCGCACTATGGCCCTGGGGTCGACTCAGCCTCTAACAGATATGAGTACTAGGAATATTTCTGGGGGTTAAAGGAGGCAGGCGCGTAAGGCTGACAACCTCACAGACATCTATGAGCCGATTGACTAGATAATGGGAACCTCATCATCTCACAACCCTATGGGCCTTCACGACATGTTACGGGGATAGCTTTACTTACTATACTTACATATAATCTTTATATTAAAAGTACTGATTGTTGGCGCGGAGTATTTAGGGTTACGAAGGACAGATCGTGCTGCTTTTAATAGGAATAGGAAAGTGGGGCTGTACTATTACACAGATTACACAGATTACCATTACACAGTAGGCCTATCAGGCCGTGAGGCCTGATATGCATGACATGCATTAACATTTCCCAGAAATCGTGAGAGCTCATTAGCCTGGGACAGACTTGAGATTTCAACAGTTGGATGGTTATTTTGTTCCAGGACGGACTAAGCTAAAATATACTGAGGAATTGAATAAAAAAAAAGTAAATCAATGTTAATTGTTAGTAGTGTAAAAATGAATGTTAAAATAAAAGAATGTGATTAGTGCACTAGAAAAACAACTAATTCAGTACTCTCATGTTAGGGAAACGATAAAGGCAATTCTTAGCAGTGAATGAATATGATACCGAAACCAAACATGGCTTTAAGTGTATAATGGAAAAGTTAAGTTGTCCCTGTATCATGCCGTGAAGGCCCATAGGGCTGTGAGAGGTTGAGGCTCCCACATCTTCTAGAAAATCGGCTCACAGATGGCGGTGAGGTTGTCAGCCTTACGCGCCGGCAGCCTTTTACCCCCCCCCACCCCGGAAGATTCCTGATAGTCATTTATGTTAGAGGCTGGGTTGACCCCAGGGCCATAGTGCCACATCATCGGGATTCGATCCCGCGACCTTTCGGCTTGTAGCATAGTGCCTCAACCAACTACGCTACCGCGTACCCCGGGTTTAAGGGTATCTGAACGAACTAAACTTTGAAACTTAAGAATTGCAGATTTATTACGAGTACATATATAATATGTAGTACTAATTTTTTACTTCCACATATGTAATTTTATTTAAGACGCGTATTGTGAGTAATGAAAGAGCAGCTCACTTTCAGGTAGCCAAAGGAAAAGCTGGAATCACGGAGGCAGAATAGTCGTATATCCAAGTTACGTAAGTTTTTAGAACTCTCATAATTTTTAATGTGGTTCTATTTTATGTGATACAGCTCATGATGAAAGCCAAAGGCACATGTTGTAGCTTTCACTGATGACAAAATATTCAGACATTTGAAAATTCACGACTATAACAACTGGTTACATGCCTGTGTTCCCTTTTGGCCGGTAGTGAGGAGTGGCAGATCCGTGCATCTTGAGGGACTTTCTTTCCCTTGTGCGTTATGACAGAGGAAAACCGTATTATGCACTTATCACAGAAATAGGCATCACTTGTCAAATTTACAACATTTCTATATACACTCTGCTCCTGTTCGAATTCTAGCAGTTTTCCGAATGTCTTGAGCTGTGACATAGCTCAGGTGGTTAGTCGCCGACTTTCCACCACGGCGACCCGGGTTCGAGCCCAGATCAGGTCATTTGAATTTTTGGTGGAAAAAAGTGGCACTGAGGCAGGTTTTCTCAGAGTATTTCGGTTTCCCCTGCCAATTCTCATTCCTCCGATTGCTCCACATCGATCATCTATAATCTGGGGCACTACCATAGACCAATTACTGGCAGACGTACCAATTGGAGTCAGTCCCACCCCACCCCAAGAAACTTAAAAAAAAAAACAACCGAATGTCTTCGCCAATCACAGTGGCCGCGGTCTAAGGTCTTCGACCGCTCGAACACTGGGATCGTGGCTTCGAATCCCACTCGAGGCACGGATGTCTGCTTGCGTTTATTCTGTTTTTGTTCTATGTGTAGGTAGCGGCCTTACGACGGGCTGATCCCCCGTCCAAGGAGTCATACCGACTGTATATAGACAAGGAAACTGAAAAAGCGGCTAAGGGCCACAAGATCTGCAAGACATACGAGACAGCCAATGTTTTCACCAGTTTCACCAGTGGTACGTTAGACGCGGGGCATTAAGGGACGTCTACTTTCACCTGATCCGATAACAAAGATAATTAGAGACAACAAAATTAAAATTTCAGGCAATGAACTGTAGTGATTCACCATTCATTTCCAACACAACATATTTTGTGCTGTCACCCAGTCGTTACACTCCAATGCGTAAAAGCAATTTAAAAACGAGATTCTTGAAAATATTTATGCATAATATTACGAGCTCACATTCAACGACTCCAGTATTACCTGCACCTCAACAGTTCACACGAATGCTACGTGGGCTTTACTGATCAAAAATGACAAATTTTCCAATGACAAGATGTTCGTACCAAGGTTTAAGAAAATTAATACTGATATCTGAGAGTTCAGTCACAGGATGGAAGGCCATTTGGAGGGAACACTAAACTGTATCACGTCACCATACAATTTCTGGCGGATGAAGTGGCACTGGGGCGGGTTCTCTCAGAGTGCTTTGGTTCCCTTGTCAATTCTCACCCCACCAGTTGCTTACCTGATCATCCTACCATCCGACACTACAATGTCTCGATACTGACAGCATCGTTAAATAACCAACTACGAAAAAAGTCACCATACACATTTCACAGGCCACGTTATGATAAAGCGAGAAATTTCCTCAACATAAACGCTTAGTTAGTTAGTTAGTTAGTTATTTGAGAGGGTGGGTTTCCCCATGCACTGAGACCTGTATTGGTCCATTGTGCTTCCCTCTATGATTTCTACCAGTCTCTATATCCTATCGGTATTGGTGCTTACCATCAGTCCCGCCCAGCCAGCGAGACCGGCTCTACTAGCTGAGAGGTATCTATAATGCTTCCCCCATCTACCAGAGGTATTAGAGACTGCTGTTGGGCGGGAAACGTCCGTAATTTGGCTCAGTGACCTCATTTGGAGATATGAGGTTCTTTTACATGCCGTAAAGCTACGACACGGGACCCACGGCTTAAAGTCCCTCCCGGAGGACTTGTTCCCTGAATTTTTCCGCCCTTAAAATTTCTACGACCTCCGCCGGGTATTTTAACCCGCGTACTACTAGTCATGATGTGGGAACGTTACCTCTAGACTACGGAGGCCGTTTAACATAAACGCTTATCCAGGTCAAAGATAAGTTTAAACAGGTAAAGGTAAAGGTAAACCTATCCCAGTAACAGGCAGTGAAGGCCCATAGGGTTGTGAGACGTCGAGGCTCCTACATTTTCTCTAGACAATCGGCTTACAGATGGCGGTAAGTTTGTCAGCCTCATTCGCCGGCCGCGCTTTACCCTCCAGGAAGATTTCTGGTACTCGTTTCTGTTAGAAGCTGAGTAGACTCCAGGGCGCCAGGGGGGCGTGCCCGCCAAGTTTAAACAGGACACAGTAATATTATGCTTGTAGAGACGGGACACGAAAATGGTTCCCAACTGAGCGGTAGATAATATTATCCGAACTTAATCTGTTATTCTCTTTGTGAATGCAACTTCCATTTATTACCGTCCCTCTAAAAAAATGGTTTGACTGCCACTTGCAAACACCGCTAATATTTTCATAGATAACTTGCTTATGCATCAACATGACCAAAGCAATGTCATATTTCGTATTTCTTTGTGAAAACATTACAATGACCGAAAAGTTGTAGTTCTCGTGAATTCAATGTTATTTCAGTATTTGAACTATAATGTTTATATGACAGCAAAATATTATCCAAGCAGCTGAATGACGTGAACAAGTTATGGAGACAGTGCATATATCCTCTTCCTGAAAGTCAGAACATACAAAACAGACGGCGGATGGACGGAGTGATTGTAATAGGCCCTCCACAGGGATTTGAACACATCTACAAGAATTACGTGTTTCCGCTTCCTAAGAAGGAAACAGTTTTGAATTTGCAACGTTAATCAGCCAGAGATTATCACAAAAATAGACACATTTCCTAAGCATACGTAGGAGGCAAAAAAAATGTAAAGAACAAACGTGATTTTATTGTCGATATTGGAGCTGTGGTCCCTGCAGCTTAACACAACATTCTGTATTATGCTGAATACGCTCTGATGATGTTAACAACAGTAAAGCATGCATACGCATTGACACAGTTCATACTACGTGAATTTAAACCACCTCCGAAAGACACTCGCATCTAAGTTATGTTTTGGATTGTGAATCTTACAAACGGATGAAACATAATTATCGAACCAGGCAGCAATGTTCAGAACCAGCGCTGCAGGCTGCAACAGCAGATGCTGTGTAGCACTTACCTTGAGTTTGTGCACTTCCCGCTGCAGCCGCATAACTTCCTGTTCTCTCATTCTGAGTTTCCTCCTGAGTTCCAGTACTTCTGTTTCCAGAGAGTCCGACTTCGCCTCCCAGTCCTTGGCTTCCCTTCTGAGCTGCGGAACCAAGCCCTTGAGATAACCGTAGTCCTCGGGATGCGAGATCCTGAAGACAGGGGAGGCTCCAGTGGGAGAGGCCCTCTGGGTCTGTCCATTTTCTGCAGCCTGCAAATTGCCCGCTGTAACTGCTGTATTAGAGGACGTCGCTGTACAGGGCCCTACCGATACACCGTTGCCCATTAGAAACCTCTGCTGCTGCTTATGGTATTCCCTGAAAAGGGCTTCTTCGTCCTCTACCAGAGGACCCTGAAACTGGTAGTCTATGGCATTGGGGTGGTAGCGATAGTAGGACGGGAGATGTTCACGTTCTATTAGAATCTCGTTGAGGCTGACGGGTTCATGGTGGTTTGCACCGCACTGGGCATACAGACTGCCACACGAATGACTGCTCGACGCTGCTACTGCGGCGAGTTGAGGCGTCGAATGTGGGGGGGATGTCTGTGGTGGGGAAGAACATCGCGCTTGTTGGAGGAGGGCAGACACTTCACGGACGCTTTCCGGGTAGAAGGATTCGCAAACTGCTGTGCAGGTCACTGGTGTAGTGTAGTATACATCTGACATTACGTTCAACTCCGGTGTTTTGCCTTCCGCGAAGTCTTGAAGAACTGACACCTTCGCTACATTGTTATGGAAATCCACAGTTACGACCTGTGACTCTTCCTGACCTTCTTCGTTTAAATTCCTATCAGCTGTATTAATTTTTGCAGTTTTCTCCTCCGCAGTTACAGGAAGGATATTGTGTTTAATGTTGTCCTCTTGGCCATATTGGATAGACTCATTTCTTAAATTGATTATTGTCTCTTCCTTGCGTTCAGTTTCAGATGCAATGTTAAAGAAACCCTCCGCTGATGTCTCTGATATCGACTGGTCTTCAATTACATTCGTAGCATCTGTACTCGTCTCCAGACCAGTCACTTTCGTAGTTGCTGGAAGCGTTTGATGTTTAATATTGTCATGTTGGTAATATTCGTTTGCCATCTCTCCGTCTTCCTTGTATCCCGACTGATCAACATTTGTATCAATGTTGTGACAGCTTGAAAAGCTCGGACTTTGTCCAATAGGGTCAACCACATGTTTACATAAAAGAACGCTACCATCAGAATCAGCTGCTGGATATGAAACACAGCTATTACAAACAGGTATCTGACTGATTTGGTCTGTGGTAACGGTGGCATCACAAGAACCAGTTAAAAGGTTTGCATCAGTCAAGTGGTTGCTTGCAATGGCAGAATCGACCAACATCGGTACGCTGGCAACGGTGTGGCCGAACTGTTTGGAAAGACATGTCTGCGTCCCTTGTTGAATGGCCTTTATTTCATCTCCCATCTTCTTTCCGTTCTTGCCACCTGCAACGATAAAATGGGGTTCTTATTGACTACCAGTCATTACTTACTTACTTATAGAGCTGAGCCCTTCTTGAGGAGAAGCGAAACCTGCAGCTACTCAAGGATTTCCCAGAATTTTATGGAACCCGAAGGTTCAGTACCCTGTTCACAAGAGCCCTCCACTGGTCCCTATCCTGAGCCAGATTTATCCAATCCATCCCATCCCATTCTATTTCTCTAAGATCCATTTTAATAATGTCCATCCACATACGCCTTGGTCTTCCCAGTGGTCTCCTTCCTTCTGGCTTTCCCACCAATATCCTATTTGCATTCCTCTTCTCCCCATTCGTATTACATGCCCTGCCCACCTCATCCTCCTCGACTTGATCATTCTAATTATACTTGGAGAAGTGTACAAGTTATGAAGCTCCTCATTATGCAGTTTTCTACCGATCATTAGATTTAAAATTTAAATTCGATAATAAGCGGGGAAGGGGGTTTGAAAATTCGACCATGGAAATATATTTTGGGGGGGGGGGGGTGTTGGCAACAATCCTACTTTGTATTCGGGATATATCGGCTTCGAATCTTGGCCCCAAACCATCTATTTTGTTTTCTTGGCTAGGCAAATGATCAGATACCGTGTTAAAGTAGGCCTGGATCGTTTCCTCCTACGTCTTTCGGTACTTCCAAAGGGCACGTTGTCATTAAAACCTTTGTGACTAATGCAGTTGATAACGAAACACATTTTACCGCCTGTACACCGAGGCATTCCTATCACGTACTATGCCATATAATAAGTGAGCAGGTTGGTGTAACGATAACATTCTAGATTTGTATTCGTCAGGTGTTCGGTTCGAATCTTGGCAAGGGAACCAGCAATCCAGACTGAGGATTTTCGTGATTTTCTTGAGTGCCTAGATACAAAAAATGCCGGAATAGTATCTATAGACCATCACGCGTCATTCCAAATCCCTTCCAATTCAAGAATTATTCTACTACATCACTCTATGTAGATTGGATACTGTCAGCGTCGTAAATACAAAAAAAAAACAACTAAAGTTGTCCCTGTGCTTAACTAATTAAGCACTACACAATGAAGGTGTATGGGGGAGTGGATGTATAGACCCACGTTTTCTTGAACTCGGCACAAGTTGTAGGTGAGTGATCAGGTTTACGCCTCGGCCGCTTTACCCCCAGAGAAAGAGCTCCCAGTACGGATAGGATAGGAGGTTGCGTGGACCCCAGAATTTGTCTGGACGATGTGGAGAAGAGAAAATTCTTGCACCTACCGAGACTCGAACTCCGACCCTTCGGTTGTCCAGCCCGTAGCCAATTGCTATACCGACTACGCTTTTCTAATTACCATCAAACACGACATCTACATTACAAAATTCATTACACAAGCGGTATGATTCGGTGTGACATCAAAATCAGGCTACAAGTTCTCAGTTGCTACTAATGCACATGTTTTCTAAATATACTGGGTAGGTAGCGCTCAATTAACTTGCCTAACATTTCTGGAAATGTTCTTAAACAGTTGTACACCTATGTTAATTCTGAACACGATAACATATAAAACTACGTATAATAAAAGATAAATATTGAAATGAAAGGGTGTATATATATATATGTGTATAAAGAATGTCGTCTTCTAGGATAAGGCGCCGTGTAGATATTGTATAAACCGATGTTTCGGAGTAACGTTGGTTTATATAATATCTACACGGCGCCACATCCCAGAAGACGGCTTCCTTCATAGTCACCGCCGTGAAAACATCAAATCTTACATATTTCAGTATAACATAATAAGATTCAAAATGTTTGTCGTTATGAAATATTTTCATTTTAGAATGACTGCAGTTTACTGGTAGAATTAACTGTTTATTTAATACTAATTAGATTAACAAAGACGTAAAATGAAGTTTTTAGTAGCAGAAGATTTCAGTTCACTTCTCACATGTCTATATGGATATCCTATGTTTAGGTAATGTGATGTAATATTAAATGTCTCTTTTCCTCTTCCTCATGCACGATATTATATGTAACTAAACATATACGAGTATGTTGGTGGCATGTGTATCTGTGAAGTCTTCTCAATATACGGGCTAACACTGTAAGCAGAGCAAAAAGGCCATCCAGAACAGGCTAGCAAACTGAGGAAATAGAGTTTTGAGAGAGGTTTATTGAACCTATATACGAGGGTAAGTTAGAAATTATCCACACTTCCACCATAACACATCTTTAGGTTTGTCACACTGCCTCCTACGCATGTATTGTTAGAGTTGGTACTACTGTGGTCACGTGATCGAAGTTTTACCTTGATCGCATCATTTTCCTTGATGCTGTGACAGTGTAAACATGGCCGCTCTGCTAGCAGTGTGCACCAATGATTAACAAAGAATAGTGATCCGATTTCTCTGATTGGAAGGTGTGTCAGGGCCTGAAATTCATATGTGGGTTCATCACTATGAGCCAGAATCCAAAAGCCAGAGTATGGCGTGGAAACACCCGGGATCGCAAACGAAGATGAAATTCAAGACTCAATCTTTCGTGGAAAAGGTGATGCTAACCGTTTTTGGGACTCAAAAAGGCCTATACTGGAGGACTACCTGGAAAAAGGGTGTACGATCAACAGTGCAAGATACAGTGATTTGCTAGCCAACAATCTGAAGCCAGCAATTTACACCAAACACCGAGGCCTATTGTTGAAGAAAGTGTGGTTGTTGCATGACAATGAACACTCACACAAGGACGGCCAGACCGTTGAAACCATTAACCATTTGTGTTTCGAGGTGCTGGAACACCCTGCCCAGATCTCGCCCTTTCCGACTGTCATCTCTTTGGACCGCTCAAAGATGTTTTACGAGGTTTTTGATTTTCTACAGATAGAGAAGTGGGGGAAGCGGTGCATAAATGGTTGCGCGACCAACCGAAAAACTTCTTCGTGGAGGGAATACGCAAGGTTTTGGACCGCTGGACCAAGTCCATCGAAAAGGGAGGAGACTATGTAGAAACATGAAGTACTTGTTCAACCCATACTTTTGTATACATTCACTGGAAAAACAAGAGTGCGGATAATTTTTGACTTCCCTACTTATAATTACATATTGTGACATGACGCCTGAACGCCTGAAATGTGAAGTCAGAGCACTGCAGAGAATCCTATTGCTAGACAACGATCTGGTAAACACCTTTCCGCTTAAGCGCGCGACAATAGGGCATCCATTGCTAGGCAATGGATGTGTTTTCTGGATGGTACGTCCAAAGGATTATAAAGGACAACGATGGTCGTTTGCAGTCAGTCGAGTTTCGAGCGCCGGCCGGCCAGGATATATGACCTTGGAAGCAGAGGAGTTGAATCGAGGAACTGAGGCATCAGAATTATTGAATGTGGATTAGATGAGTCTTGAAGGTCACTCTGTGAAGAGAAGACTTAACGTGCGCTCTAGTACAGTGATGTCTGGAGTGAGACTGTTATAGTTCCTGTGTTGAAATCCGTTGCCAGGAAACGAATAGTGAAAACACCGTAAAAGAATAGCCATTGTTAAGAGCTGTTACGAAGACTAGTGACAGCAGACTTAGAAGAGCTAATGTGGAGCGATTTGTTGTGTGAAAACAAGTAAGAGTTTTATTCTGGTTTGTAACTTCTAGTAATAAGCGGTTAACAAATTCAATTCAATTGGTTCGCGCTGCTATCAAGAACATCACACATCTTCGGAACTTGATGGGGAGGAACTGACTGGCTTCGCGTCACGGAAGACGCCGAGGAGACTAAATAGCAGTCTGTCAGATTCTCGATACAATCGAGTTCTTGAAGTTCTTCATGAATGTTACATTGCCATTCAGACTCAAATGTTAAATTCCTTGCAGTTCCGTATGGAAGAAAGGATGCCTAGGACTACCTGCAAGCGTTCGTATCCACTCCGGCGTAGGATAACTCGAAGGACGTTTCTGTTCCTGTTACTGTAGGTCGTAGGAAGAGGGCCACCTCCTCGGCCCCATAAGACTATGAGAATGAAGAAGTTTCCGGAGCCGAAGCCTTTGCATACATCCAGCTGCCCTCTGAAAAGCGAATGAAGAATTTTTCCGCCACCCTCCAGTCATTCATTTTGGAAGCGACAAACCTGATGCAGCGGCATCCGACAGCTCCAAGAAATGATACAGGCCACTCCTAACAATTGCAACTTCTTCTGTTCACCTATTTCTTTGCAGACACACATCAAACCCCTCTTAAGCGGACACTTTTCACTGCGTAGAGTGGGAGCCATAATACGCGTCATTACCCTCAGTAATTTATTGTGATTACGAGTGACTGTACAAGGAGTGATCAATAAATTCAATTATCAATCCAAACCCCGTCTAATAAGTCACCCATACAAGCGACGATATTTAAATACTGTAATGAAAAACATTCCCCTGTAAATGAAATTCTGTTACCATTTACCTTCTTTGGTATGAGCTGCAGTTTATAGACGCCACACGCTCTGATGAGATGTATCACTCATGCGCTAAACATTTTCCCATATATGGATTTCAGTTTCACTTTAAGGTCGTCGGTGTGGTATATTTGTTTCTTGGGAAGCCATGCTTTTGTCCATTTTACTGACAGTCACTCACTGGTCAAGTGGGATTTGTGGTGGACAAAGTGGGGCTGGGGCACGTTTTCTCCGAGTACTTCGGTTTCCCCTGTCAATCTTCATTCCACCAATTGCTGCAAAATCATCCTCACCTATCATCTGGGGCTGGTACAATAGGCCAGAAGTGGCCGCAGTACAAGGGACTTAATCCCACCCCACTAGCAATGAAAGGAGTACAGTCACTCACTGACGAAAACATATGAGTGGGTGTATTAATCAACTGTTATGCCGTGTGTTGCCGAGTGAAGCCCTCATTGCTTAGGCTATTGGTTATGGTGCTCATTAAGAAGTTGTAACTGTGCTTAACTAATTAAGCACTACGCCATGAAGGTGTATAAGGGGAGTGTATGTATAGATCCACAGTTTCACAACCCCAGCCGT